GCTTTGATCTTTCGTATCGAAAATCTAAACGTTTCTGGATGCAGATTGATTGGTCTTTGAATTTTACGAATCATCGTGAATATCCAGTTCCTTCTTATCTTCTACAAAGAGTAGTTTCAAGCCTGTCCCGATGTTCAGAGTAATACAACCAAAAATACATTTTCCTTATAATTTGTATAAATCCAAAGTCGTCTCATTGTTTATTGTTCATTCTGACCACATATTGTACTTCTAGGCTTCGTATGTATCTGAACGATCATTTCCTTAAACAGCGTTAAACCAGTTGATCTTCTTAATGGTGAAGTGTTGTGTTTTCTTCGCGGTACGGACTGAATTCTTACGTAATATTTATACGAGCTTCGGCTTCAAAGGGTTAACCAGTTGATCTTCGTAATGGTGAAGTGAAGTGTTTTCTTCGTGGTACGGACTGAATTCTTAAAATATTATTTAGACGAGCTTTTGGCTTCAAAAGGGTTAAGTATCACACAGTTTTCATACGCTCAGAAAATGTTGGTCTGTTTTTCTGAAAAGTGGTAGCTTTAATCATCCAATGTAAATGAAAATTGAAATATGTAAAATATTTTGTAGGAATTCTTTAATATTAAATTAAATTAAAATCTGTTTACCTATCCGTTATCGAGCTGTATTATGCGTACAGACAGACGGACAGAGCGACTTATTGTATTGTTTAACAACTATTTAATGTTTCAACCACTGTGACAAATATTGGAAATTTGGGGATGTAAATTTGTCTGATTGTAATACTAAATAGCGCCCTAGGTTATTGGATTATTTCAGTGCGCTTTGTGTTAAGAAATTGTCTTTTTTGCTAGTTTTGTAGGAGCTTAAACACACTTGTGTGGGAAGGTTAGGTTTGTTGATGTTGTCCGCCGGTGGAGGTCGCCCCGGTAGAAGGCATTACAAGGTTTGCATCTGACACGAGATGGTTACTGAAATTCAAAATGACTGCCAAATAAAATCCTTATTCGTGAATCTGTTGTGGTATTGGGCAAAGAGACATTTCTTTTCTTCTTACCAGACTGGTAGTCGTCTGTGGACAGGTATAAATGTAAATGGTCCTACGTCTCCTGAACTTTGAAGGGGGGTTACGAGCCACAACATATGCGTAGTGTATGCACTGGTTTCGAATCAAGACCGAAATATTACTTAAATAAATAAATATGTGTAATACAAAGAAGTTTATGGGGCACAAAAATTTTTGGAAATATAAAACTGCTGTGCGCACGTGCACAGCAGAACGTTCGTGTGTGGAGAGTCAGTGGACAAAGGTTTAGGTTGCAGGAGAATCCTGCATTAAGTGGGAAAGTACTGTCTCAGTGAATTTCTTTCATATTCTGGAAATAGTCGCTGCCTTTCAGATCAGAGTCTTTGAGCTTCCAGTTTCTTATTCAGAAATCTAAACACGAAAATTCACAAAACTATAAATTTAATTTTGATTTTATAGAGAAGAAGAGAAAGCAGACGGTTTAGTTAGGAAAGTTAGGTTAGGTTAGATTAGGTTAGGTTAAGTTTATACTCTTACATCTTGGTGTTAAACAGGGTAGGTGTTATTTAAACTTTGCAGTGGAATCTTATTCTTGATACTTCAGCTCGTAACCCACGCCTGCCAGTTTCCCTTCAGTGTAGACGTTCAACCTCTCTTCTAGCTGTGGCGTGACGTCATTTTTCCAACCTCCTACCTCCCCCTTCCTCATGAACGGCTCAATCTTTCCTACCAAGTTCGTTTCCTTTCCACGAAGTTTGGCCATTTCGTCTTCATGTGATACTGAACGGTTTTCCTTCATGGACTCGAAGCTGAGGTGTTCGCAAAGTCTCTTCATCTGTTCAGAGGTCAGAGTGCAGTCCAGGAAGTCCGCTGTGCGTTGTACCACTCTGGGAAGGTCCTGAGTAAAACGAGTAATTACTCGGTCATCGTTACACGAATAAATAGTTTCGTATTTAATCAATTAGACTTACGTTTTATTTGTAAATTCTATTGTGCTGGTTGCTGATAAAATTTTGAGTGCCCTTCAAAGCTTGAAGTCGAAGAGAGAGAGAGAGAAGAGAGAAAGTGGGGGGAGTAGCGATAGGCACTACTGTTATAAATGGGGGAGGGGTATAAAGTTGGTTGTGGGCTACGAAGGTTCCCAGGCAGCGCCCGCTCGTCCTTCTGGTATGAATAAGTTTAGTGAGGACAAGGGATTTAGGAGACAGGGTGGGTTAAGAAATGGAGAGGGGGAAAGGTTGTTGTCCTGGATAATTTTTATCGTGTTCTTAGGATGGTCGTGGTGATGTCCTGGAGAATTCCAGGGAAATTCCTGGAGAAATCCTGGAAAATTCCTAGATTAGTGTCGGAGAAATCCTGGAGACGCTATACGGAAATCTTTTTGTCATGGAGAATTGCTGGGGAAATCCTGGAGAAGTCCTGGAAGGTCATTTGGAAGTCCTTAAGCGGTGGTGGGTTTGATCCAATGCGGGTCGGTTATTTAGGATTCGTTTAAGTTTGATTGCGATAAGTTTCATTGAATTTGGGTTAGGTTGGTTTAGGTTAGGTTGGCCTTAGAAGGGCGGCGTTTGAAAAAAAAAATTACGTTTATATTGGGGGGGGGGCTGCTACAGAGCGGAATCCTTCAAAGCACGAAATTAATTTAATATTTAAGAATTCAGTCCGTACCGCATAGAAAACACTACACTTCACCATTAAGTGGATCAACTGGTTAACGCTGTTTAAGGAAATATCCGCCGCTTAAAGTGAGAATCATGCGAAACACATAAGTACGACGTGAAGAATTGTTGAATGTTAAATCATGTGGTACATATAGTTACCACTGTGCTTAATTATTAAGAATGTGATTTACTACTTTACTTAGCAAAAATCCCATTTCAGTTTTATTAAAATCGTGAATTTCACTGATATTTAGCGCAGCTGATATAAAAAAACCGTAGAATAGGTGAATTTTACCTTTTTCATCTCTTCGAAAGTGTTGAACATCACGTTGGATTCATGGCGAATATTCCAGAAATCCAATATGTGATCCCACACAGAACCGTATGGAACTGAAAGGAAGATGTTTTTTTTTCATTTTGAGTTTGTTACTTTTTTCCTTATGGATGTATGAAGCGTAGTTAATCATTTTGATGCCAGGATTTATTTGGAAATAATAATTTACCAGTTAAGAAGTGAATTCTTTGCAGTAACTTACTAAAATCATTAATCCATAATTTGATAAGTTATGTGGATTCTGTTACTCGTACTTATTACTGAGTGATGATATATTTAATGCTCAGTAAGAATGTCTTAAGACAGACGTAATTTGTATTTTTGTATCTCCTCCTTACCTAACACGTATGGAGTTGACATTGACAAAGAAAGTAAATTGTAGAGAAACCCACGCCTCATAAAATCTTAAAATTCTCTCTGAAACGATTATTTACTGGAGATATCTTGCATCTTGCGTTTCGTTAAATATAAGGCACATCTAAAATTGTTTTAGGAAAATGTTAATAAACCTTTTTCTGTCTTCCGGAATGTTACATTATGTAGTAAAATTGTTTCTCTGAAACGTCAGTTATTGTCTACCATGCTATACGATGCAACATCTCAGAAGACAGCCACAATTATACTCGCCGCTGTGAGAATCTGAAATCTCACCTAGAAAAATTTCTTAAATTTATATTTTAGATTTTCCTGAAGCACGAGTTACAATGGATCGATACGTACCAAAATGAAATTCGTTCTACAGAAAGTAATTCAGATCTTCCCAGTCCCAAATTCCATATAAATCAGTTAAAATATTCTGAACCATTCGGACGGACACAGACACGCCCGGCCTTTTCATTCTGCATTCACTTCATTAAATTGGTTGAAAGTTTACAGATTGCACATTCGACGCGAATTATATTGTGTTTTCATAATATATCAACCACGTGCAGGCACCAGCAGGCTTGAAGCTTTGGATTACCGATCTCGGCCAAGAAAGCTTCAACGAAGTCCTCGCAGGAGCCGGTGTATCCGAAGAAGAGCCGATAGTGATGATAGTAGGATGCTGCGACGTCCTTTACATCTCGCGCTACGTAGATGATCTATAAAAAGTTTAAGAAACACCTCGTTTCAGTTGTCATACTCAGAATTCAGAAGAACGCACGTGTGCATTCGCTTGTGGATTAAACCTTCAGTGTGTTCTTTAAACGAGCTTTGGCTTCAAAGGGTTGATATAGATCAGTGGTATTCAACCTGGGGTACGCGAAGACACCTTAGGGGGTACGTGAAATTTAAAAAAAAATATTATTTTATGATAAACACTGAATAATAAGTAATGTAATTTATTTAATTTATTTTAGATGTAGATTATATATTATGTATAACTTGAATTATACACCAACAACTTTGGGGGTACAAAGTTGAAGAGAAATTATATCTGGGGGTACGCGAACAAAAAAAGGGTTGAATACCACTGTACTAGGTGATATGCAACACACTCAGATGTGCTGCTGCCTCGTGTCTTCTTTCTCAGGACTGGCAAATGGACCTAGTTATGTCAACGAACTCGGTGTAAACGTATAATGAATATATTTACCCTTAAATGTAGTCATTAAATTTATTTGTGCGTTTCGTGTGATTCTCAATGTAAACAGCGATTATTTCCTTAAACAGCGTTAACCAGTTGATCTTTGTAATGGTTACGTGTGGTGTTTTCTTCGCGGTACGGACTGAATACGTAAATATTATTCAGACGAGCTTCGGCTTCAAAGGGTTAACCAAATTCGGCAGTTTTACAAATACCTTGGGTCTGACCGTCCACAGCTGTTTCGGCAAGAGTTGCAGTGGCAGATGACTCTTGATACAGCGTGGAGATTGCAGCATCTCCACTGCACGCACGCTGTCTGCGATGTTTGCTTTCCGTCTGGTGTCTTCATCCACGAGACATCCGAGTCTGGGCAAGAACAGTATTTGATTGTAATGTGACCGACGTTTTGTCTAGTACGTGTGTCCAGTTAACTTTATGTCCACCCCTGTGCCCCACATCAGTGAGAGAGAAGCTCTGCGGATGGCAGGCTCGAAGTATTTTTATTTTCCTAAAGACGACCACAATTTATTAATAAATAACGTGAATGTGTGTACGTTACTTTCATCTGTCGAGGGTGTTGCTAGGTAATTGAAATAATAGTCGTTTCTATAGTTAAAAATTCATTTCTCCTCATAAGTGTAGTTAAGATATCATTATTCTATTATCTAAAAAATGACAGTTTAATCTGTGTGAAAAAGCATTGTGGATTTTATTTAGATTTATTTAGCTTTCTACGAAGAACATTTGAAATAACTAAGCTTAAGATAAAATGGACATACAGCTGTAGACTTAAAAAAGTGAAACGAATTGGTATTGGTCCAGACACTGTGAGACGAATTGTCTTAGAAGCTGAAGACAGTTTTTTTTTTTCTTCCGTGTAACAGCAGCGTTGTAAGATTGAATTTTAATGGAAGCTAAACAGTTCCATTTAGTAGAAACTTACTCGAGGTACGGTGATCTCTCCGTCTGCGGGATCTTCCTCGCTGTTTCGTAGTCCAAGTTGTTGATTAGTAACCAGGCCATTTCTTGTGTCCACGTGGTACCTGCGAGGCAGTTCATATTTATTCATAAATAATATAGAATATTTTTATGGCTGTGAAATGTGGTCTCATCCTGAGATAAAATTGGCGGGCCTACATCTTTTTATTCTTTAAGGAGAAGGAAGACTTGTACTACTGTACAGATCGATTATAAAGGAACATAACACTTTAAGTGGCCTGTTTTATTTATTTATTTATTTATTTATTTATTTATGGTTTAATTAGCGACGCTTTGAATATATCATTGAAAATGTGAAATCATAGGAATATTAGCGGGTAATGAATAGGAAGAATTTTAAAGGAAACTGTTGTTGTCGCATTTAAAATACTATTTTCGAATTACCCGGAGGAACTGAGGAAACCCACGGAAAATCTCATGTCAGGATAGAGTGTCTCCGGACATAGATTTCAAAAGGAAGAAGAAAATCCTGCACGTGACTGGCTGTTGTCTGCTTAAAAAGAGAAACTCTCGGAATATGTAAAAAAAAAACATACATTTCGGTTGATTATTCAGTGTAGACTATGTTTTTTCTCATTATTTTTGAAATCACCAGATTTTGGATACGTAAGAATCCAGACGTCGTCCTTCCGCACGGTGAGGTGTCGCACTCTATCGGCGTGATTTCGATACTCGGCGAACATCGCGCATCCTGGCGGCCACATTCTGATAACACCGTCGCTGTGAAACGTTTGGTTAGCAGTTTTGAATTTGTCCACCAGTGGTCCCTGCAGCACCTCAAATTGGAAATCGTCCATTTTTCTAGACTGCGGAAATAAATTCTGTGAAAGAAATGTTTCATTTTTAGCTTACAATTTGTTCTTTATTAAATAGAAGGCTACAAATAAATTCCCGTGCTGAATGAAGTACGTCTCTAACATCTGTCATACTTCATTACCCGCTGTATTTTCACATGTTTGCATTGTTAGAACTTAGCGGTGTTTAAAGAAATACTTCAGAGTTGGTTTTTCCCGGGTTTTATATGGTGACAAATGTTAAAATCATCTTCAACGTCAGGGACACCACGTATGGACTTAGAAGGAATTCCTTCACTTGTAATACGTGCACATAAATATAATAATTCAATCTGGGAGAACAATTGAAGGAACATATTATTGTTAATACTTAACAATTGATTATTTATAAGTTGCTAGATGTACATTGGGAAAATTCCCGGATCAACTCTAATAAGGCAAATTTTGTGACATTAACACCAGATGCACGTATATTAGTTAGCAATTGAGATGTGTAACAATTCAATTTAATTCAATTCAATTATTAAAGTGCTTGACAGCAGCCGAAACGGCCAATAACAGCTAAGCACTAACAACAATACAAATCTTACAATACTAAAGCAAACAAACAATGAACTGAATATATAAAGTACAATATTAATTTATTGCAAAATAATTAATAAGTAAATGAGCTAAATGTTATGGATAAGTAAATTAAAAATTAAATTAAAATCAGTTCAATTTTGGACAAACAACATACAAAATAAATTATTATACTAAATAATAATAATATAATATATGTAACACGTATTAAAAACAAAATGTATTTCGGAAATAGCTGCTGCACTTTGTACCTCGGGGGCAAGGTTTGTCTCGGGTACATGGAAGTAAATACCCTGTAAAGTGGTGAATATTTAATGGGTTAATAATAATAATAATAAATAATAATAATAACGCTACTGTAATTTTGCACTGAAAAACATTTTCTATGTAAATGCACATTTTCGTGATGTGGGATTACGCATTACTGTATAGCTGAATATAAAAAATATTAAAATCTTACCAAATTTAAACTCAGGAACACTGTCAGCAAATTAAATTCTACACTCCTTGCGACTTGAAGTTAGAATCAGCGAATAGCAACTGCTACGCAGTTAGACATTCTTATACAAACCTTTCACATGTGCCATTAGGATCGAGGTTACTGCCTGCCCCACTTATTTGCCTGTGCACACATTAAAATCAGGTCATGGACGTGATCTATACGTGTTAGTATTTCCGGATTTGTATATAAAAGAATCTAGATCTTGTATAGTCAAGTAGACAGTTGACTTGCGAAATCTAGGAAACTTTTCTTATTGGCATTGAGGACTGAAGGATATTAACTGCGTTTGTTACGGAAATTAATGTTAAAAGTCAGACAATAGATAACGGATTGGTATTGAGAACATAAATCGATCTGGAAATTCCCTAATCGACAATATTCAGTAATCGATAGTTAAGTCCGTGAGTTTGAAGTCTCGACCGCTGGGAATACTGTTACTAACCTGTAAAAATTTTGTAAAGAGATTTTAAATGAACTCAAACGTTTTTATAACAAACCTTTGAACTTGTCATGCGAGCTGTTATCAATTTGTGTGAAGGTTTCTGCGCTCTCCCGACCGAGTTAACACGACACAAAGTAGAACACAACAGTAATGACGTCACGAAACGATAAAGTGAAGTGTAAAACTTCAAAACCTCTTGTGAGTGGAAGGAATATCTTATCACAAAAATATGTTTCGTGTTTCGAAATTGTACTTTTCGAATTCAAGTTCTCACTGAGACGAATGTGAAGATTTCTGTCATTTGGGGCATCGTGTCTTAAACTATGGTAGAAGTTTACCGACATTTCAGCGGTGTTTGCTGCCTCCATCATGAGGGCGTCATCTCCCTGTCTGTATTTCGAGAATTACGTTAACGGAGCTTTCTTACATGCTGTGTATTCTACCAGATTGTATCAGTTCAGCGACAAACTTAACACCGTTATCATATGTAAAAATAATTGAGAATGCAAAAGTAGACTCAACAATAAACATTCTTATCGACTGAGCACGAGTGTCAAGAACCCGCCGCTGTTGTGTTGTTGTATGAACAATAGATGGCAGAACTCTAAGTATGACGCCATTGGTCGGAAATTGTAGTTGATGGTGTTTGTTTCCTTGTGATCTGTTTTAACGGTTATTTGTAAAAAGGAATACAGTGTGTGTGGTTGGATACTATCATTGCATCGATCTGATAAAGTTGAATTGAAGGACTATCTATATTTTTGTAGAATGGAAAGAAAACTAAGAAGTGAAAGGTTATGTTACAACATTGCAAATCGGAGTCGATTGGCGAAGCCTGTTTTCATACACTGTAATATAGACGAAACACTTACCCCAACTTCATGCTGTAAAATTGTAACAGAAACTCCAAAATATATCCTTTGCAATAAGTTGATTCCTTATCCTTACTATACGTTAAAGAATGCTGCAGAAAACTTCAACACTGTAAGTTATAATGTTAAAGTTTGTGTTCATGGTCGTGTATTTTGTGGTTAATGACTGAATTGAATGTGGAAGGCGGGTAGAATTGCAAATTATGGTGCAAGTTTCTTAAAGTTAACTGAGTATAACCACGTAGGCGCATATGTGTGGGATGAAAACCCACTCTGGGCTTCGAAGTTCCATAACCTGTAATGTAAGTTGTTAACAAAAGGGTTATGAAGTATATTGTATCGAATGTGTTCACTTTGCTTAAGGTTGAGACCTTGTGACTGACCTTCTGTAAAGTGTGTCATAGTGCTAACAGTAATTTTTAAGATCTTAGATTCCAGTTGCACTAAGGGAATTTACATTTGTGTGTGTGTGATGTTTTATAACATGTGGGGTATTGTGTGGTGTTACAGAAGAAATTTAAGGAGTAAAACAATTTATACATTGGAGAGAGATAAATCAGACCTTGTACTGTATTTGGTGTCACATTTGTGTTAGCTACTGTTTATTTTGTGGCAAAATTTGGACATCTGAGCATGTCTAATTTATTTAGATCATTCAATTCTTTTTAAGACATTAGTTTTTCTTTCTTTCTTTGAATTTTCTCAAAACAGAATAAATTTATTGCACCGCTATGCTTGTTCATGCATTTTGTTCCATGAAGTTGGAAGTGTCACTTATATAATCCTGTGTTCATGTCATAGTAAGAGGTGTAATGTCTTGGTCTTCTTTTAGTGTTCGACGGAGCAATCTGGACACACTCAGAGCAGAAAAGCTGTGCGGATGAAACGACACCACAAGAAGATGGTTGAAGCGTACAGAAACTTTGAGAGTATTTTTCAGGTAATAAATGTCAAGAACATTTATTTGGAATATTGTTGATCTAAAATTCTGAATTTACCTGAATCAAAGTTAAATTGTGATTTAAAAGCAGTCAAGGGGAAAATTACTAACAAAGTGATTTTAAGAAAAGTTGTTCAGAACATCATTCTTTTAGTCCTTATCTGATGTGCCGAGATCAATTCTAATATTGCCCTTTGTTTATGCTTAAGCCACGATTTTTTGTATTAAATGTGGATCTCTGACTATGGTCTGGATGACTGGAGTTTGATCGCCAGCAAGGACAAAGGATTTTTCTTTCAGCATCTGAATCTATGTGAGCTCTGGGGTCCACCCAGCCTCCTATCTGTTGAGTACCTGAGATTATTTTCCTGGGGATAAAATGTGGCTGGGTCATGATACTGACCACTCACGCTCATCTGGTGCCGAGGTCGAGAATGGATCTGTCTCTTCTCTCCCCTCAAGTGTCTCTATGGCATGCACCAGTACAATGTCGCTTTGCTCATATGTTAGATTTGCAACGTCGATGACATCTCTTCTAAAGTGATGTAGCGACTTTCTCGACGAACATGAAAATTTGGGAAGTGAATAAGATATCGGAAGTTTTTAGAGTTAATAAATAACGCAAAATATGTGCATGCTTTGTTTTTTAAAAAAAAATATTGTTTATGAATGTGCAATATTTCAGTTTGCTTCGACTAAGGTACAAACTTTCTCTGATTTCAGAACGTTCAACTGGAACTCCAGAACTCTGTTGCTTGTGGTGATGCGGTTGAGGAGGTGGTACTGCTGATCGGTGCCACGTCGCGGAGTCCGCGAGAAGTTTACAGGATAGTCATACCGCCCGTGTCGTGCGTGGAGTCGGACCAGAAGCAAAGTGAAAACAGGATTCGTCTGAACTTACTTCGGTATTTAACCTTTCAGAGCCACGAAACCTTCCTGATACGAGCAGCCAGTTTTAATTTCTAACTTATCAAGGTTCTTCTGGGGCATCCTGTCTCTAATCCTCGGCAATAAACCTCGCTCATCACAGTGATGATCGGGGCTGTGAGCGCCTCTGAAAAATCATTTTCTAGCGGACTGCGTGGTTCAACAAATCAGGAGACGGTCATCTGGTAAAAGTGTGACCAGTTAAATATAATTTGAAAACTTATTTTTCCCTCTGTCACTTGTCATCTGAAAAAACTGATGTTACGAGACTGATTAGGAATTTCAGTTAACGCTGGGCGTGCGACAGTGACACGCGATCAAACGCCAGGCTCGCCGTGTATATCAAGCAGCGTTGAAGGATCAATCTTGGAAAATTTTACCAGCCGTTGCAGTTTTGTGTTTTCACTTTTATTTCTCATGAAGGAAATTGTCTGTTTCTGTCTTGATTTGAAGATCAGCCGCTGTTTTTAAGCGGTTTAAAACAGTAAACGACAATTTCCTCGTGAGTATTTCTCAACTCCCAGTTTATAATCATCTTTTTTTGTTTCTTATTCAAAGTTCCAGCTTGAAACTTCTCAGTTCAAAATATTTTGTCTTCCCGTCCGATTTCTAATAACCTGAAGATTGAAATATGCAAAACAATTTTGCCTGTTGTTTTGTATGGGTGCGAAATACGGTCTCTCACTCACTCCCCGCTCTGTATAATGGTGTATAGGGTGTGTGAATTTATTGATTCAGTTGTTTGTTCAAGAGCAGGTTACCTGAGGCAATTCGTGCTTTAGACGTACGACCGATTCAATAATTCTTTGATTTTCTACGATTTAATTCAGTCCTTAGGCGTAAATGTTGAATGCCAGTTGTGAACATAATTTTTTGTTTGTACGGCATGAAACATGTAACTCTTCGTTATCCTAGGTGCGTGGTCCTGTCGGAAGATCTCACGGACATGCTGGACCGGTCCATCGGCCTGACGAACATGTACGTGATGCTGAAGAAGAGACGCGGGACGAGCTCACACTGGTTTGTACCAGATGATTCCTACGGTCTCCCACTCCGTGGGCGGCAAGCCGTGATTTTTCTCGGCGAGCAAGTGGGACGGCGGGTCGACACTGATGCTGTTTGTAAGGAAGTGGCCAAACCCCGAACTCCAGATACCAGTAAGACTGTAGAAGCCGAGACGAACCTCGACGGACAGCGGGGGCCGCTGTTGGAGTTGATTGACGGTCTGCACATCAATCCTAGGGGTACGCAGTGGTTCCAGTCTCGCGTCTGTTTGAAAGGCTTCAGGCTTGTCTGTCTGTAGTAGCGCGCGGACCAGACGTGTTTCGACGCGACGAGTCTTTTATGCAGTCATCGTGAATTTCCATTCCGCAGGTTCGCTCCGCACATGAACAGTCGTGCAAACCGGGAAAACTGTTATGATATTGATATGATTTTATTTTTATCAAATAATTAAGATTTATATTTACATCGAGCATTGAAAATGGCGAAATTTTGTGATGGCGTTTTTACTCTTTTATGTGCTTTTGTTTTTGGCGTGATCGAGAGTCGATTTGGTAATTTTTTTGAATTGCACGTCCAGATGTTTTGTTTTAGTATTTTAGTGTACGAGGGTTGCGTCTGGGCGCGTAATGTTTTAAAATACCCCGGAAATTTTAATTGCCTGATTTTTTGTTGTTGATGTTAAACCAAAGATTAAACTCTCGCATATTCTCGGACATTTCTTTGATTTTCTCCCCCCCACCCCACCCAATTACAGTAATTAAGAAAGATGCATGTTTCAAAAGCCAACTCTTGCTTCCATCGTCACTCAAAACTCTACGACCTAATCACTTGGTTCCGTTGGATGAGCCATGTGATTTATCTTTAAGATGCCATTGAAGCGGAAGATTTTGTTTTCGTTATTCGGTGTAAATTTAGATTGATTGTGACTGAATTTAATAAATGTGCCAGTTAAAATGATGGATCTGGAAATATTACTGTAGAAGAAGAAGAAGAATTTTTTTTCTTGGCGTCTCACTGATAAGTGATTGCGTGTCACTTCCAAATTGAAAAATTTATTTGGAACAGTCGAAAGATGTTTTTTTGGTCTCGTCAACAGCGCGACGAGTCGAGACGGGTTTCAGTTCGTTATGGCGAGCGATGAAAATCTTGACAAGTCTCGTGAATTTGCGAGACTTTTTCAGTGGCGTACAAGCAGAATTTGAGGCTTATTCTCCAACTGAACGGACGTAAACACGCATGTCCTGCAGTTAATTTACAAGTGCCGAGAGGTCAGGTTAGGTTAGAAGATTTCTGTCTTCTGGGTTGTTGCGCTGTGTCATCTTAGGTTAGGTTTCGTAACCCTTTTTTCTCCCGTGGCGGCGTTTCGGACATGCAGTACGAGTGATTACATCAATTTGGTTTTGATGTAATTGTATCCTGTCGGCGGAAGTCTGAACCACTTTTTCGCTGTAAACCGTCGCATTATGATCTTAAGGCGCAAGAAAATGACACGTGGAACAGCTGACTCTGTAACGAAAGATGGAATTTTTTGGAATTGGCTTTCTTTGGTGATTTGTGATGCGACTCTGTGGTCAGATGACTTAAGCCTGTTTTCAAACGATTCACGTACTTTTTCTGGATCAGTGTGACGTCTCGCTTTTATGTCGATTCCACTTTTTTGTGGCGCGACGTACCAGATGACGGCTGCCTCCTGAGATCTTGGTGTTTTTTAGGGTCTGGTAAGTTTTTTTTTTACTTGTTACGACTGATTTCGGAGCGGAAGGCTTTCGGACGCCTCGTCGCCCGGGCGCGCAGCGGACACTGGCCAATGAATTTTCAAGTGGTGTAATGGCTTTAACGGAGAGACTTTTTTATTTTATTTTACATGCTTTTGAATAAATCCTTTTATTTATTTTGTTTCTTATTCATGTTTAATTTTTGTTGTTGTTTTTGCTGGAGGTACCTTTTTTTCCCCCTTGCGGGGAAATTCTGTCGTAATACGACAGAAGAGACCGCGGTCGTTCCCTTCCACGTCCTCCCACTTCATCATCGCTCAGTTGTCTTATCGTATCACGTCCGTTGGTACGCAGACGATAAATGAAACTGTAAATGAGAAAGGAGTTTTTCAGATGAAATGTTTCTGTGATCTTGTAATACTCGCAGAGCGCGCGAGTCGACTGTCTTTTTCCCTGTGTCCTTTGCTTCATGTTACGACTGAAGCGCGCTGCGTTCACAGAAATATATTTCGTCAGTTTCTTGATTTTAAATGGACCCTTGACTGTGGCCCCTGTGAGTGTCTGTTTACTAGGAGATGCAACTCGGACGCTGGAAACTGGAAACTGGACCCTCTTCCTTCTGCAGTGACGGACTACCCGAGGATTTGCCTGGTAGGTTCTTAAATCAATAGACTGAGAGACCACTTAAGTCAGTTTCGGTGCCGGGATGAGAAACAGCCATTGAATTGCCCGTTCGTAATTGGATTAATTGCTTTACAGAGATTCGAACCCAAGACTTTTTTTGTTCTTGTGTAATTTCGTCTTCGAAATGACTTGCCTTGACGCAGGCGTTGGTTTCCGAGATATAGGAACCGCCCTCGCCGGGATTCGAACCCGAGATACTTAGATTTGAGGTTATAAAACATTTTCTTCATTTTTCTGGTTACTACGCGACGTAATCTGTTCATAGACCAAAGATGGTTTGTGTTTCCTTGCTTTCCTTTGTAACCGAACAAACACAATAATTGTTATATTAATATGTATCTGTTTCTTAACTTTGCTGACGTCATCTGATTCCCAATTATTCTCTCTGCTATTACAATTCGAATGTCTCTTAATGTCTGCGTAATTGAATTTCATAAATTCGCGTATATGAAATGTAAATTCATCTCCTGTTTTGGAATAACGCGTTCATTCACTTATTTGCATTGTATTTTGTTGCTGACTAATGCATTCATTTACGTACCGTGTGCATGATAAAAGCGAACATTTCCATGCCTTAATAATAATTCGCTCGTTGCTTTAGGCGTTATTTACAGTAACGCGATCCTACTAAGCGGATGAGGACGTTCTGATTACGTGCCTGTGTCCTGAAGTCAGTGAACTTAACTCTAGGCTTTATGGAAGCACAGGACCGAGACGTCATAAAAAGGCTTAATTAAAATGATTACTGGACATGACAGCTTTTATAAATTATGGATAAAGCAGTCTACGTTTTACGCTCTGCGCATTTGTTTCTTTGCAGGAAGAGTTTTTTAACCGTGAAGGAGAAAAGTCCTATAACCTACATCGCAAACAGACGGCGATGTGTGGTCGATTTCGTGAACCTCGTACACGGGTAAGCACGTGCAGTCGCTTATTCCGTTTCTAAAACGAAGCTGTTGTGTGAGATCTCGAACAATAAAGGAAGTACGGGTTCCTGATTTCATTTGTTATTATTTGAACTGCAGACGTTAGGATATTCGGTTTTGAAACCGTGTTTATTCAAATAAAATATTTTGTTTATAGTCCGGAGACGTGCAACAATGTAAACTTGGTCTAAAAGATTTCTGATAACTGTGTAATTGTTGTTTCTCAGATTTCATTGTGTTTAGAATTATTTCGAAAATGATTATAATCACGCTAAAATACCATCAAACGGAGATTGGCGAATCGAATTATAATCACGCTAAAATACCATCAAAAGGGGATTGGCGAATCGCAAACAAAAGGCGACAACAAAGCGTCTCCAACCCGCCTTATAATGTTGCTTATTGTTAGTTTTTCAGGGTGGAAATACAAAATGTTCACGAAAAATTTAAGAATCCTACATTGTTGAAATGAATTTCACTGTAATCTTGGTGGAACACACTGCCTCCATCTTTAGAGCTGAATAATTTTTCTCGCAAATGTTTGTATGTGCCTTCAAGTCCAGAATACGAGCGTTAACAAAGCATTATTTGTTTGTTTATTTTAATTAATTTCGTCAGGTACGTGTTATATTGTCTGTCCGTGCCTGACCATGTATGGATATGGGAACGTACGTAATTGTATTGGCTGTGCAAAATATTTGCCTCGCCAGCAACAACGTGTAACAACAATCGATACCAAATCTTGCAGGACGAGTTTAATTTCTGGTTCATACGTCGTAAACTTTAACGTGAAAGTCATACAAGATACTAGTTCCTTGCATTCGTTTGCTGCAACAACGCGTTGTGATCTACAGTAGCATTCTTTAAATCCTCTTGGTAACTATATGTACCACCTGATTTAGCATTCAGCGATTCAGAATTTTTCCCAAAGACTATTAACGGGTTTCGTGCGATTCTTAATCTAAACAGCGATTATTTCCTTAATCAGCGTTAACCAGTTGATATTTTGTAATGGTGAAGTGAGGTGTTTTCTTCGCGGTACGGACTGAATTCTTTAAATAAAATGTAGACGAGCTTCGGCTTCAAAGGATTAACCAGTTGATCTTTTCAATGGTAAAGTGAAGTGTTTTCTTCGCGGTACGGACCTAATTCTTAAATGTTATTTAGTTTGCGCTTCAAAGGCAGTTTTGAGCTAAGATGCAAATAAAATGCATATTATCGTGTCTTTATAGTTGAAGTTGTGACTTTGCGTGATATAAATTATAAGTTTTCTGTGAAGAAAACTCATGTCTGAAGCAGTCAATGAACGTGGAGCTGATAAAGGAGACAAAACAGATGTCATGTGGGCGTCAGGGAGAGCTTTTCTGAACCACGACGCTGCTTCCATCCTCAACTAATTGCGGGCTTTGTTCTCGATTTCCACAGGTCGGGGTCTTCTGGTGAACTAGAGCATGCATACCAACAGCGAATTATTAAAGTCCGCAAACAGAAAGTTCCTGTTAATTCCCTTCCTGGTTTTGGAGTCATTCCCTTCTGTTCCCATTAGATGAACGGATATCCTTGTAGATAGTTAACAGGAAAATCCAAACGTTTCTGCCATAAACCGAAATCCTACTTATCAGTCGACTTACCGATTCACCATCACAATTAATATATTTGTTGGTAGGGTAAACCTTAACGTGTATACCACGAGATAGTGTTCAAAATTCGTGATAAATTATACGCGGAGTTATGAGGTCAACTGCAAATACAGGCTGATATGTGGGCGTATATCAACTTTGTGTGTGTGGGGGGGGGTGTGAAAATTCGGTTGTGTGGAATATTTTTATGTTCCTCGGTGTTCCTTGTGTCAAAATCGTTTCCCAGAAGAGCCAAGTCCCAACTGACACGAATAAGCAATTAGTTGTGAGGTGAAGTAAAAATACCAGCTTAATAATTTAGTACCTCGGCTCTGTTCAACTTCAACGTCAAAGTAGGCTTGTGTTGAACAAAAAAAAAAGGTCACGTGATCTATTAACGGATTTAGGGAGTCTGTTAGAGGGGGGAAAAATAGTGTTTCGTAGAACAAGGTACAGTCCCGCTCATTGTGTTATTTGCCTATTTTAGAATCTTCGTTTTGATGCGTGATTAGAATTTCTTCAGTTTCATAGGTTGGTAGGTCTGTCGCCGAAGACCACAATCTGATTTAAAAACCTTTGAAACCGAAGCTCGTCTAAATATTATTTAAACATTCAGTCCATTCCTGAAGGAAAGAACGCATCTCGATGATGATATTTTTGTTACTATCAGATGCGTTCAGAGGAACACGAATAATTAAACTTTGTATTATAAAGAATTTATTGTGGATTACATTAATTTTTATTCGTCAGGTTAAATGTTAAACAAACGAGTTTTAATAGTTGCTTTCTTCCTCAAATCTGAAATATCGGAATCAGAATTTGTGTATTATTGTAGTCTGATTGCGTTACGATAATTTATTCAAAAGTCTGATATTATATTCCTCCGAGCTTTTGTCTTCAGTGAAGCCATTTTCCACCTCTGATTATAATCATTTGCAACAGAATTATGAGTAATAATTGTCGTACCTGTATCAAAACTTTAAATAAAATATCTCTCAACTTTACCGTCATCTTTTTCTGTCCTGTGTCTGTATTTGAAGTTTTGTGAACAATGCAGTTTCGTAGTTTTAAAGGAAATGTCGATTAGTGGTCCATGTTTTTCACAGAAGAACAATAATTACGTTTTACTAAAGTTTTAGTGCGTTTCGCGCGGTCAGCATTGCAACGGCTGCGTTGATTGGTCGATGAGTGGGGTAACACGTCACGTGGTTGGGGAGCTGAAACCAGAGAGCGTGTATATGACGTCACAACGTGTGTACTAGAACGTTCTTGCAGAGTGAGCGGACAGTTCGTGTTGAGCAGAGGTGGAGGTCGGAAGTGTGCGTTGGATTGGTATAAACAAACATAACCTTGATTTGTAAGCCAGTCTGTTTTTCGTTGTTTAGAATAAAACGTAGCTGTGACCTTTGTGAACTTCTAGTAATTGATAAAATTTGTTTTTCTGGTGAGTATTAATGCAATTTTTTGGTTATCGTCATTGTTGAAATGGCGATTTCATAGCTGTTTCCTTAGATTATGTCATGTCAGTTTTTTCACAGTTGTTAAAACGTTTATTTGAACATTTCGTACAGATGGACGGGAATAATTTTTTTAATATTAGTACCTTGATTTTGTATTAGATGTAACTTATTTATTTAGGATTTTAACTTATTTATGTAAGAAGCTATTAATGGACAATTATCGAATACTTCGAGAAAATTACATTTTATCGAATGTTTTGTGTCTACTCTTGAGATTATCCCAAATTATTGTTATATCGATTGTTTATATATATATATATGTATGGCTAGAACCAGGTTATTCAACTGTCTTTTGTGGTGTATTTAATTCTCGTAGTGACTTAACCGTGGCTTGTTTTGAACGTCGATAGAATATTTTGAGGCACTGCATTTCCGTCAGAATGAATGTAACAAAGTTAGTTAATATAAATTATATTGCTTTAAAGCAAAATTTAAAAAAATGTTATTGGGTGTTGGCTTGTGTGTCTGCTCCTGCAAAGAAGGCGGTGGGAAACATAACCGATAGGATTTTGTTTTGTTAGGGATATTTTATTTCTGCAGTAATTGTTTATTTTTTTATAATACCTGGAAAGAGAAGACTTGAATTAGTTGATGAAGTGGTAATATATGAAAATACTATTTATGAAAATCACGTAATAAATGTGGTTAAATTAAGTTCTTTGCACACATTCGTAATGAGGAAAGAGTTTATAAAATGCAGAGTGATTTTGATATTAAAAGTTGCACAGAAGTTGGATAAAAACTGGTAATTAGTAGGCTTTGATATTGCATATTTTAACGGGACCAGCGCCTTTTTAAATTTATTTTCGTTACAGACTCCATTGACCCGGAAAATCGTAGTTGATTTTTCCTATTTTAAATTTCCATATCAGTTTTGAACTGCTTTTCAGTTATTTCTGGTAACTATTGAGTTGGTCATTCTGTTGTTAACGGGCAGTGGTGATTTTATTTTATCGAATCATAACAATTTAACCGGCCCGAAATCTTTCTGAACCGAAATTAATACACGTCATGGTTCTTCGACAGTGTTGGCAACCCATCCCGTGCTGCAGTCATCGCTGAATGTTGGTAAACGTGGAATAAATGCATTGTTCTCAGTCAATAGCTTTTTAAGTTCTCCAGATGAGTCTTTGTTGTTGTTCTCTGTTGTTATTGAGGTATAGGCCTTGATTCATGGCAGTTGAAACGGAAGTTCCCTTACATGACTAACGCCGAAACATCCGTGAAAGTCTATTGGGTTATGAGGCCTCAAACTGCTCAGTGTAACGTGTGACTCTGGCCTTCTTACTCAGTAGCTTTGGCTTGTCCGACTTTATTTGAGACGCATTTGATGTCAGGACACGTGCTTTCTTGTCTTAGAAAAATTCTCACATCGCTTGAAATTCACCGATTTATAAATATTCTTACGATTTCTTCAGTCGACAGAGATTTATTCGGTAAATCCTGAGTCTCTTTCATAAAACACGTCATTGGCGTAAGAATTTCTAATCATAAAACGAGGTTTTGTGAACATCTGAGAAAAGAACGATGTTTCGATATCAATATTTCGGAGGAACACACAGTCTCCATCTACAGGGTTGCTGATAATAACTTTAAAACCTCGTTAACACCTGTTACATTATTAACCTGTAATTCTATTGGGTAACATTTCAAGATATTGTTTTCAGTATGAAAATAACAATTTTTGACCTGTGATGAGACAATTGATGAACCGAATTGTAGCTTTTTTTATTCTCGGAAGAAATATGTCCAATGTTATTGTTCTCGTGATGGTATACGAATAGGTCTCTCCTTTCGAGGTCTCAAGGTAAGTACACATCTGCGTATAGACAGACAACAGGCCTACCTAAAAGCTACGTAGGATAATTATAGAAAAATGTCCTTGTGATCTGTTCGACGCCGGTTATGGCAAGGTCAGGACACACCGAGACGGGTAACATGCAAAGTGAATGTACGTTTTGCGATTCTACATTTACAATTCTCATATTAAGGGTGTAGATGGATGCTATTTGAGGTTTTCACTGTGGAGATTCCAATTGTGATCTTCAGAATCATTAAGCCACACTGAAGATGGAGGCGATATATTCCAACGAAACGTTTGTCCACAAAGCGTCATAAGACAGCCATCGAGATGTTAACCCGCCGTGAGCTCAGATATAAGATTTAATAACATTCATTTTTAGGTTTATGAAATTTTGGAGTTCGTGTAAACCACCAATACCAAATTTAGTCGAGTTTCATAGATTTTTGGGGAGTTGAAACGTGTTCGGACAGACAGACGATAATTCGTTCCCTTTATATATACAGTACGTATTTGCAGGTCTGTTTTAAAAAGGTTCATCTGCTTTTAGGTCTTCCACGAGGCTTCCTACCTTGAGTTTCTCAACCAAAATGCACATTTTGTGATTAATTCGTTCTGAATATGGATTATGAAGCTTAGTGCAATTATTTAGGCAGGTAATTAACTCGGTAGAATGACGTAGTCATTGAGAAGCTGAGAGTGAAGTTCGAAGTTAAAACCCAAGGGTCGTGTCCCTTTTACCTGTCTGGTGGTCGTCAGCGGAGACTTGGGGTTCCATGCAGTGCCGCTTGGGTGCGCTCGTTTCCGGTGTGTCAGCTGGGTCCCTTTGTTAAGGAGGCTGTGACGATGTTCTTGATTGCCAAGGGCAACATCGCCATACAGCAAGAAAACTAGTTTCACGGAGAGAAAGCCATCCCATTGCCTCTCGGTTGTAGGTTACCTGTACAAGACCCATAACACTTTCTTACCAAGAGAATTAATGAATATTCACAGGTAATTTTGTGTATTTCGTAAGCCTTGACTGTTGAATGAAGCCAGAAAATTCTTCCTTAATGCCACCCCCATCTTACGTGTTTCATATTAGGCGTTCTTGATACCTAATGCAGTCAATTGTCATGAGACCTTGTCTGCTGTAAGAATTTTGGAATTCAATGGTGGTTCCAAAGCCCTCGAATCTAGTGATTTGGATGAGGGTAAAGACGGCCGTAGTGTGCAGATTAAGATTGTGTGGACCTCTTATCTCTCACTGCCCCCAGAACTGAGGCAGGTGAGAAAATGTAAAATTGAACATCGCGATGTATTTATTGGTCGGTTTTGAGTTGGGGGTTCCCCCCGTTTGGATCTCAGACGCGAGAACCGGTTATACTTTGCTTCAAATCTTTTGATACGCCATGACGGATTTCTTCCAATTACCTCCGTTAATGTGGCTTTTGTTATTGAATCCGTAAATTAACTAATTAGTTTTTTTCCTTTGCTCGCCAGCAACATGCGATGTTTTATGGTATAGTTACAGTAGTCCCCCGTGCTTAATTAAGCCCCACTCTATGCAGACGGTATGGCGGCTTTGAGGTATAGCTCCACGTATTCGAATTTGGAAAGAGTTTTTTTTTTACAAATTCCGTTCATATCGATTTAAATCGTGCTTTATCGTGATTCGGTACATCTTTCAGAATATTGTGGAGCCGACACATTTGTACGAATCTTACGTACATCAAATTTAATATCGTTACAACATCCATGCAGCGTCCGATGGTCATTTATTCAATGCCTTGCTTTGTGTTATCTGTGTTATCATTTTGGCCTTCACGGAATTAAAGTTGTCTGTAATTTGAGCTTAATTTAAAAGCCAATCACATCCCAGGACACTTAATTTGGAGATCACGTTCTGAAGTTGTGAATTAGTTCGACAGGAGAGTAGCAAGTCGATGTTTATGGATGTCGTTGCTAACTTCCCACCACATTCTACCTCACCGATGAAGTTTAATTTATTTTAAACTGATCAGGGTGATAATAGACTACACACAGACGTTCATGTTACCGTAGAAACAGTGCTAATAGACAGGTTTTATACATTTTGACAGGAATTATGAAACCGGGAGAGAAATCGGACGTTTCGATAGCCATAACTGTCTCACGACCATTGGTTCGGCTGTCACTGCTTGGGGTCACCTTTTGTTAAGGGCAAACTCGATGTAACCCACCGAGTTAATACACTTTTGCTTTGACGGGTTCACCCTGCCTGATCCCTGCCCCCCAAGGTACAACATAAAATATTACTGAGTTACCATACGTCATCATATTTCAACAGCAATCGGTCCTGTAACGTATGTGGCTGAAACATCGTCGTTAAATAACCTAGTAATCATTTGCTTTACAGGAGCCGGCCACCTGTCCCTATTCTGAGCCACATGAATCCAATCCCTTCTACACTGTTTCCCTAAGATCCATTTTAATATTATCATTCCTTGAACGCATATATCTTCGTAGTAGTCTGTTTCCTTCAGTTTTACCAGTCAAAACTGTGTATGAATTTCTTGATCCTAATAATATTTGGTGAGAATTACGAATCATGAAGTTTCTCATTTCGCAGTTTTTACCCAGCCTCGTTATATCTCGAATTACTGAACCCGAAAGTGTGGTAATCCTGTTAGTTGTGGGGGTAGATAGCCGACAGCAAACACATTCTGTGCGTTAGAATACCAGCATATGGCGGATTAGTGGAAATGCATGACGCCCTCTGATTGCACCCTTCTGCTGTTGGACGGGGGATGTTACGATCACAGTGGAATGTCTTCCTTGGTTCAGGCTGTTCGATAACATTGACCCTTACTTACAGTCAGGCGTCTCGGGTTCAGTTCTCGGCTGGTTCGGACTGAGGATGGAAGAATTGTGATCTTCACACTCTCTGGTGTAACTGAATGCGTCATAATAACCACAACAAATGTTTGTCACTGCTTTAGAGGTTATTTTGTTTGTAAAGGGACTCGGATGTTTCACATTCACTCAGCGACACTCTAATTTGTATTGTGTTAATTAAAAACGCTTTTTAATATCTTCACATCTGCGTCTTTGTATCTCTGTTTTCTATGGTTTGTCGTTATTTCGGGAACTAATATCTTCAGAGAGGATAGTAAAAATACCGTGTCGCGTCGTTAAAGATCAGTGTAGCCCTCGTTGCCAAATGGGCGACTTGTGTGGGGTGTGGTCGGACGGGCGAAGCAGAGGTCTGACGTTTGTTTGGGGGCTTACGTCTGATTCACGGCGTCGGGACAAAGCTGAGCTGTTCCACGTTCCTGCCAGTCCTGAATATTCATAGCGCGTAATACCGACACAGAAATGAGCTGCTTATCCTACTCTTGTGAAAAGGGGATTCACAGAACAAAATATTGCATTTGAAATATTTTGAAACTGGATTAAATCGCTAAAGCCGAAACTCGTCGAAATAATACTTAAGGATTCGGTCCGTACCGCGAAGAAAACACTTCACTTCACCATTACAAAGATCAACTGGTTAACCCTTTGAAGCCGAAGCTCGTATAAATATTACGTAAGAACTCAGTCCGTACCGCGAAGAAAACACTACACTTCACCATTACAAAGATCAACTGGTTAACGCTGTTTAAGGAAATAATAATCGCTGTTTATTCTGAGAATGCAGGTGGGACATATAGTTACCACTAGGTTTTGAAAGGTTAATGATTTTGCTTATATTTAGTTCCGACTCTGACAGGGATTCGAAGTGTGGACGTTACGAAGGGAGAATAAAAATGGAATTGAAGACCACTATGTCCTTAACGCCTGAGCACATTAAAATAGGCCACGGCCGTTCCTGAGTAGGCATCATAAATAAAATATCATGGCACGGTGAGACGAGAAACTGGACGTTTCGGAGTCAGTCTGATCTGCGGGACACTAGACGAGGCGTCTTAAGCGACCGACAAAGTCACTTGGCGTCAGTTTAATTTCATTTTCTGCATAACACTTATAATGATTAACAGTAAATGTGCCTTTGTTTGTTGCTATAGAATCGTAGGTTTACCTTTAAACGTTATTTTGGTGTTTATTTTAAGGTAGATTCGTGATGTGTCAGTTCTCTGCCTCTGGCAGTTTCTGTTCTGCTCGCTCGATGATGAGTTGTCTCATCCGTTGTCATTTAACCTTCACAGTACTTCCTCATTCCACTTTTTTTGTGTACTGACATCAGAAACTCTGTAATCAAAATTAATGTCACGGATGGATAAGTACCATTTTCACGCATCATCCTGTACATTTTTTTACGTGTGGTCAACAGGGTACCATGTAAGTAGAAATGACACGAAGTCTTAATCGTTCACGAAAGTTTTTGCAGTCTAGAATTACTCTTAAAACGACCGCCACCACATCAAGGAATTTAGGTCTGGGAAAAAGTTCGTGTGTATTTCTTAATTTCCGTCCTAGAACTTCGAAGTCGTATTGTTCCTCTCAGTTCTGTCAAGAAGAAACGAACAGCTAGTATCTCTTTCATAAAATAGTGTAGTTGCGTCATATTGTGATTTATTATTATTATTATTTAGTGTTCTGTCTGAGGACAGGTCAATATGAACAGGATCCTTCCATCCTTTTCTCGGACTG